GCGGTCAGAAATGATAATGAATTCCAGGCCCACCTCGGACCCTATACGATTTCCCCTTTGCTTTTTTTTTTTCAAGAACGAATCCCTATAGGAGACCTGCCGCCAAGGTCTGGTCTGGCTTATCCAAATTTGATTTCTGAACTAGAAATGCGATGAACTTGAACGATTGAAACCGACAACTTGATCTTTGGCGATGCAAGGCTTGAAAAGACGTAATGCTAACTTTTGGGGTAATACAATATAACAAGAATTGTCCGAAAATGGTCTAATGCTTAATTGACATGATGGTTTCAAAAATCTTACCTATACGCACAATAAGCCTTCGCTGTAAAACCAGGGTGGGTATACGATGCAAAGGTTAGAATCATTGATCTAGTTGAAAAGAAGAAATTGGACAATTTCCTGTCTAGCGTACGAAATGGGAAATCGGCATACCTAGCCAAGATGCTGCGAAGCGGCGGTTTAACTAGGAAGAGTGTGTCTGTAAGTTCCCTTCAGAAGGCATCCTAGCCAAAGCGCAAAAATCATTTCAATTTTCACACCTCTTTCCCAAACCTGTGAAAAGCTAGAAGAGCTTTGGTTTGGCAAGATGAAAAAGAAGAAACGAGAATTGAGGGAAGAGAATGACTGCCTGTCAATGCGCATTCCCTGGCGTTTGTAAGACTATCAATTATCAAAGTTATTTCGCCAAATGTTTTCTCGCACCGCCACTCGTGACATCTACAACCGCGCCGCCACATTCCTCGTTGTAGGACTGATGGTCTTTGGAGAATGTGCTGTTGCGCATCAAGTTTGCGCCTACATTCCCAGAGTTTCGCTTAACGTAAAGATAATTTAAAAAATACATAAATACATGATAGAGTACGAATCGCTAAACTTCGTATTTTCATTGCAGCGTTGTAAGAAAAGGTTAGGGACTCCTTATATGACCCCTTAAGGCAGGATAAACACAGGTAAAGGCAGCTATTATACAAAGGATGTATAGTTCAAGCAATGAAACTTGTTATGACATTATGTGCTTTAAGAGCTGAAGCAAACAAACATAAATATGTTAGAGGAGCTAAAACTGAGTTTGCGCATTCTCTAAGGTGAAGTATTAGTGCTTCAGATAGTGTCATTGAGACATAAGCTGTTTAAAAGAAATTCATCCTAGCAAATGGCCTTCTTAACAACAGAATTTCGCAAATCACCAACAAAAACTTGAGCGACAATCCTAGACAAAGCGCCTTTTACGGTTGAAATGCAGATTCAATAAACCGATAAATTAATAGATATTCAGAGGAACAATGAGGCTATCTTACCCTTCTTCCCTAAAGCAAAGTATCTGTGCGAACTTCTGCAGCATCGGTTAAGAAATAATTCGTTATTTGAAACATACAGCTCTAACAACAACAATCCACGTTTTCTTGTGTAACATTCAAAAACCTAGAACATTCCAGGCAATATTTCATAGTTTACTCTTTTTGTTTAAAGCAATCGTATCCCTAACTCTATAGGTCTCGTCAACGCTTTACTCCAACAATTAATCCAAGAGAGCCGCACGTCTGTTGACAATATTAGTATGCGCGAGCTCCCGCTTCAAAACACCTTTTAGGCGTTCTGCCCTCCTGCTAAACACCATTAA